TGTAGTTAACTTCGATAAAATGATTGGAAACAACAAAAGCAAAATTCCAGTAAGTGTTGCTGCATCTGTTGATTTGCATGTCACAGCACTTAAGTCAACTACCATACCTCCAATGTCAGAGAAGATAATTTGGGGTAGAATAAAAGAACATTCCCAAGGAAGCCCGATGCTTGTGGAAGCAGTGGAAGACCCATCCAGGCCAGCGGATTTGAAGATTGGAAGGTCACTTGTGGCAGGTCATGAAGTAGTACCCATAACAGTGGCCAATTTCTCTAAATGTGAGTAGACACTTAAGGAAGGGGCATTGTTGGGTGTGTGCCAGGAGGTAGAGCCAGTCAATGTTAAAGCAAGAAATATAACTGTAAAGAAAGGACATACACTTCCAGAACATTAAACTGACCTTTATAAGAAGAAAACAGCCCATTTGTCATCATCACAGGCTCTTCAGGTAAAAGAACTTTTGGTAAATTATGCAGACGTCTTTTCGAAAAGAGATCATAACCTCGGCTGCACAAACCTCGTGGAGCACAGAATAAACACAGGCAATCACCGTCCAATAAAGATCCCTCCAAGAAGAATAGCTCTGGCAAAGCGACAAGAGATGGAGAAGGTCATGGATAGCCTAGTTAAGGAAGGGATAGTCGAGAAATCAGATAGTCCCTGATCAGCTCCTGTGGTGTTAGTCCAGAAGAAGGATGGGACCCATCGTTGCTGTGTGGACTTCAGAGCTCTTAACAATATAACTGAAAAAGACTCATACCCACTGCCAAGAATTGATGATACTCTTGATGCCCTAAGTGGAGCCAGGTGGTTTTCAATTCTGGACTTAAAGTCAGGTTTCCATAAAGTGAAAATGGCTATTGCTGATATTCATATCTGGGATTTGACTTCTAACAGGACTGAAGATGTCTGCATTAGGGTTTAGCTGCGGGTCTGGAAGGGGCTTCCCATTGTCTGAGGCTGATTAGGTAGATGGCTAATATATCCTCCTTGTGTAAAATACAGTAAATCATTTTTTAATGTATTTAATTCGCTTTGAAATTTACTAATGTTTTCCATTTGTGTACTCTGGCTTTCTCTCAACTGTTGGAGACTTTCTTCTTGTTTATTTTCTTTCTTCTCCAACCATTGCTGTAGTCTCTCTTCTTGTTTATTTTCTTTCTCCTTCAACCACCGCTGTAATCTCTCTTCTTGTTTATTTTCTTTCTCCTTCAACCACTGCTGTAGTCTCTCTTCTTGTTTATTTTCTCGTTCTTCTTGTTTCTTTTGCTGTTTTTGTATTGCTGCCATCAAATCTGCTAAGCTGTAGTTTGATTTGCCACTTCTGGTTTCCATTTTTTTTTCTCTTTTCCAAATCTCTAACACCAATTTGTTACGTCTCTGGTCGTTTGTTAATTTCCCGTATAATTTATTTCGGATGAAACTTTAGCGACCCAAGTCGTTTCTTAAATAAAACTAGTTTATTCTTTCTCAATACAACTTTGCAATACACTTAATTTCTACAGTCACTTTAGCTTAAACACACGCTATAATTCACAACGATTCACGCAATTTACTTACGGCTTGACTCGATTCAATTCTCGCCGTCACTTTATTCGCCGGCTTATATACTATAAAAGCACAAGTGTAGCCTTCAGGAACGTTCGAGATGCTCATTACATATTACCTGCATCACGTGACTTCCGCTGTCGTAACAATACTATTTCCTCTGGGCATGTCACAGTGCAAGCTATGGTGATTTGGAAAGAACGAGAAAAGTGTTTCTTCTGTAGTAAATGAAAAGCAACTGGAAAATAAAATAGACTCTATCAAATCAGTTGTAGAAGTTGTTCGATTTTTTGTGCATCATAGAATTGCCATTAAGAGGTGATAAGTGAAGTGGTCTTGATATATTGATACTGTTACGTCTCCGTTTGTTAATTAACTTTCCGTAACTTCGTT